TGCTGCCATCTTCTGTTTCAGTCCGTTATTACACTCTTAAATCCTACTACTTATTCCTGCGTCTTTTGGGATCTTACAAAGCTTCAAACGACGCGTCGACTATTAAATCAGTCGTCGATAATTTTAAAAGTCGACGTAATCGTGACTAGTCGACGTAATCGTGGCAGCCCTAGTTGGTAGGTATGGTGATAAGGAGAGGAGTGCAGAAGGACAGATGGTAGTAGTTTGTGCCAAAAGGCTGGACATGGCTAAAGTGAACATTTCATCAAGACAGAAGGCTTTATGTAACAGTGGGGCAGTATATCTTATCCAAAAGGAACAGTCGGAAAGACAGAATGTAGCTGGGCAGGATTGGGTGTCTGCAGGCTGTAGGATGGCTTTGAAAATGAAGAAGAGAAAGCAAATGAAGGCAGAGGCAAGGATTAAATGGTGGAAGATGATTCAGTGTGGAGCTGGCACAGGCCCTGGGTGATAGGAAAGAGTTACCAAATGACTGAGGAAGCACAGCAGAAGTTTCTTTGGCCTATCCTCTGGGCAGAGGGCTGAGGACAAGAAGACTTGGTGGTGGAATGAGGAAGTACAAGAAGGTATTTGAGGAAAAATGGTATAGTCAGGGAGATGAAGTCTGTAGACAGAAGTACTGGAAAGCTAAGTGTACAGCAAAGGAAAAGTAAGTTTTGTTTAAGGCTGAACACTAAGGAAGGAGATAAGGACTTGTAATGGTTGGCTAGGCAGAGAAGTCAAGCTAGAAAGGATGTGCAGCAGGTTAGAGTGATTCAGAATAGAGATGGAACTTTCATAACATTTTAAGAGAGTGTGCTAGGGAGATGGAAGAAGTACTTTGAGGAGCTGATGACTGAAGAAAATGAGAAAGAGAGGAGGGTTACTAGGATGGATGGAGGAAAGCTAGAGAATGAGGAAGTGCAGAGGATTAAAAGAAAGTGAGGGCAGCTATGAAGAGTGTAAAGATGGTTTGCCCCGATGACAAACCTGTGGAGCTATGGTGATGTCAGAGACAGCAGTTAAGTTTCTAATCAGATTGTTCAACAGAATCTTGGATCTACTCATCCATTTCAACAATAAGGTTGATGTGCAAAGTTGTAGTAACAGAAGGATGAAGATGATGAGCCACACACTAGAGATATGGGAAAGAATTGTTGAAGCTAGGTTAAGAAGAGAGGTGAGGAACAGTGAGCATCAGTGCGGCTTCATTCTGAGAAAGAGCTCCACACACCTGATGTTTACTTTGAGAGTGTTGATGAGAAGCATAGAGAAGAGAGGGTCAAAGGTCGACAGGTGAGGTAAGGCAGAAGTCTCTGTATCATGTTGTCAGACAACACTGTGACCTGTAGTTGGAGTAGGTGGAGGTATGCTGTGGACAGAAGAGGAGTGAAGGTCAATAGAACCAAAACCGAATACATGTGTGTGAAGGAG